CTGCCGAGAGAGGGAGGACACCATTGTGTACTTTTGATGGTAATGGGATGGAGCTTTTTTCCTAGGGATGGATACGAGGGACCAGGAGTCTGACAATCTTGAAATCTAGAATTTCTTAAAAGTGCTATTTCAGATCATTCATATTTTGGTGTACTCAACCTATCCTAACCTCTAATTAGTCATACATATGCCCTTGAACACTTGATTTTATCTTTTAAATTCCACTTAATTTGATACCTACCTATATCAAAAACAAGAAAAGACCCGTTCATTTTCGTGCCCCTTCCCTGCAAATTAGTCGTCTCAATAGGGGGAATCCCATTACACGAGACGGCGCGTGGTCGTATCGGGTTAGTCGATGACCGTTTAATCACCTCCTCCAAAATATTTGAGAAACATAGACGCCTTCAGACAAGGACACCTGGCGGACATTCTCTCGCGAAAAACTGACGAAATGGAAACAACAGGAAATTGTAAGGGTCAAATTCTTAGAACAGCTAGTAAGCAACTGAGGGAGGGAAGAGAAAGTTTCGGAGTATAAGGAAACTATAATACTTGTATACATTGGACCAGGTGGGAACTATCCGAATGAGTATTTGTTACAAAAATTCATGAAACTTCAAAAAGGTATATGTATTAAAAGGTGGCCAAATGAAAATTAGGTTCTTCCAAGTCTACTGTAATTCCTCTTATAGAAGCCCACCTAGGCCATCAACTTTGAGCTTTTATATCTCAGTCCCTGTAAGAGATATGAAAAATCTGTCAACTGATAAAATATTGATGATATTATGATAAATATTTTATTAGTTAGCAACGTTGTGATATCTTTTACACGAACCGAGATAATTGAGCTCAAACTTGGCAGTGTGTGGACCTTTATAGTACAGGTGTGGTGCAAGCACACAGCCAACTTTGAGCCCATATATCTCGGTTCCTGTGAAAGATATTAAAAAGTTATCAACTAATAAAGTGTTTTTCATATTATCAACAATATTTTATCAGTTAACCACTTTTTGATAGCTTTCACAGGAACCGAGAAATATGTGGTCAAAGTCGGCGGTTTGGGTGGCCGTGTTTACAGTACGCTGCTTGTTTATAAAAGAGGTCAAGGTGAAAAATTGGTTTTCTAAGTCTAACTCATATTGCTTGGGTCCAACGTCCGAAAATTTCTAGTTTGACTCTAGTTCCAACACTTTCATCAGTTGACAGTCTTGTTATTTCAATAACATTCCTATCACACTGTAAGGTTCTGGTGAGAATCTGGTCACAAGACAATCAATTTACGATATCTATGCTAATGATCACTTGTATCATTCAGAAGAGAAGCTGGGCAAAAATAGCATTAATGTTCATGATCATCCATGATTCCTAAAATGACGTTTCTATGCTTCTGATTAGGCTAAAAATAGAGTGATCCTATTAAGATATTTAGAATTCTTACACCTAGTACTTGACGACTTCTATGCCAAGACAAAGGTGTCGATGAACACTAGAAAAATGTGTTCATTGGTTTCTAGAAGACGTATGTTTTGCCAAGGCTAGCTTCAATGAGACGTTTTACTGTAATTTGGCTATCTTGACCACAACCTGGTTGGCTAGTTTTAAAGGAAATACTATAGTTCAAAAAGTTTTGGCCGCCACCTTGACCACCAATACAAACACCTGACCTAGAAAACTGGAAAAATAGACGACTTTCTTATATTTAATCATATTTCATCAGGACGGAAACTCTCCAAAAAATCCCATAAAATCAATCGAGATGCCTTCCGATTCCTAGTACTCCTCGCTTCCTTCTATCACTGACTATCACTGAATCGTAAACCTCCTCACCCACTACTCTTTTTTTTCCACCCAAATCGTTTTCGCTCCTTCTTTATGACGTTGCAAAATCGGGAGAGAACACGATGCAGCAAAAAGGAAAACGAGGAAAAAAAGGGGATGGAAAATTTAATGGAAGAGAGGAAATGGTTCGGATTTAATCGATGTGTGTTGGATAGTAAGAAAAAAGAAAAATGAAAAAAAGATTTAAAAAAAAACCAAAAGGTTTGCCGAAAATCGAAGAGAGGGGAAAGACCTTTGGTTGGAGATTTGATAGCACGATGTGATATTTTTAGAAAAGGCTGGAAATTGGGCATTTTTCGATTGAAGCTAGGAACAAGAAAATAGTTTACTAGATTATAGTTTACTAGATTAACCTGCAAAAGAAGAACCCTCACAGACTGTCAAGTTTGAACTAATCTGGTTACCTTGAAACCAGTAAGATAAGGGTGCTCAAAACTTTGACCTCAATTATCTCGCTTCCCATAAGAGTTGTCAAAAAGTTGAACACTGTTAAAATATTGCTGATATTATGACAAACAGTTTATCAGTTGACAAGTTTTTCATATCTCTGACAGGTACCGAGATAAATTAGCTTAAACTTGACAGTGTCAGGGCCCTTCTATTAGAGCAAATGCGGTAACTTTCAGGGGGCTCGGAGTATAGGGGTCTCAGGAAATTCAAATTTCCAAATGTTGGAGAGTGAATAATAGTAAATGAAATGTTATTTACTTGTTAAAAAGCGTTGTATACCCCTGACAAACTATGAATCGTGGTACCGAAGATAAGAGAAGAAAAAGTGTACTGTAAAAGAATATTGATATGTCCCGAGGATTTTAGGTCAAGGGGATGTAAAAGGATCAAGGGGGTGTAAAATACCATAAACACTCTGATAGGATCTCCCCCCAAATTTAGAGTTTTTATGGCTCACTTCTTGTAAAAGATATCAAAACCTGTCAACTGATAAAATATTGGTGATTTTCTGATAAATATTTTATTAGTTGAAAATTTTCTGATATGGTTTGCAGGAACCGAGATAATTGAGCTCAAAATAGAGCTATAGGGTGGGCTTCTATTAGATGTCATTGGTTGGCACCCAATTTTGTGGCTCAAAGAAGCGCCAACTCCAAAGTTTGGACCATGGACATTTTTGACATTTTTTGAAATTTTTTTAAAACTTCCCTTTGAACTTTGCAAAATGAGTCTTTCTTGTCTTTGGAAACAGCAAAAACTACCGTAAAACTTGTAATAGAAAGGCCCACACTCTGTTTAGTTTGAGCTGATTTTCCATGGCTCTTACGCAAGATATTCAAAACTTATTAACTGTCAAAATATTTCTGGTATTTTGATAAACAATTTATCAGTTGACAACTTTTTGATATCTTTCACAGAAACCAAGATGAATTGGCTCAAAGTTAGGGGGTCTTTTTATAACTTGTTTTACAGTAATCCCATCTTTTGATCTTAAACTTGACTCTTTTTCTGTTCCTGATATTCTTAAAATTCGTTTTTCTCTTCTTTGTATTTGTCACCTTCCCTCCCTCCAAATGTCATATGCCATTTGAAAAGCTTTGGATTGCAAAGAGAGAGAGAGAGAGAGAGAGAAAAACGAAACAAATCGAAACCAGAAATCTTTTTGTTACCCCTCTCCGATCGAAAGTCATGACATATACCAATGATATTCACATGAGTGACATGTGAACATCTAAGAGTTCGGTGCAAAACCCTGACACAAGAAATACAAAAAAAAACCTACTATACGGGACAAATATAAACGGAATGCACATGTTTGTATATGGGTATGGGTCAACATAGAGACTGTCTAACCCATTTGGGTGGTGTCATGAAATTGAGTGCTACCGATCGTCGAGAAAAAAATCGCGAGATCACTGATCAATTGAAAATATTGGGTCATCGGGGTACAAAATACTCAATTCTGAAATACAAAATTGCTGAAAATTTCCAAATTCAGTGACCTCAAGTCGCTTTGTATCCAAAAATATGAGAAATATACAGTACCGATCCAAATAAAAACCTGCTTTTTAGGCCATTTTGACCATTTTCAGGATTCTGATTTCTTATTAGTTCTACTAAAAAAGCCCAAACACTTCGTTTTGTTTTCTACGTTCCATTTTCTCTAATTTATGGTGTCTGACGACATTTGTATTGCTTTTTCCCTGGGCAACCGTAAATCAAAAGACCTTACTAGGTGACCCGGCTGTCAGAGCTACACAAACTAGCAATTTAGTTCAATAACACTTTGAAATCACAATGTCACATATCTACACAGTTCCGGTTGAGCTCAATGAGCCGTCTGATATTATCCAGGCGTATCTGGACTGTCTTGAGGCTCATTATAATCGAGAAGTGAGACATGTGAATATTATTTTTAGTTATATTATGATGTCGGCTATAATTATTATTTTTGGATTGTAAGTTTTTTTTTGAAAACAAAAATGTATACCGTAACCACTCTAATAGAAGAACACCCTATACATGCACATTGAGCTCAATTATCTCAAGTTCTATGCGAGATATTAAAATTGTGTCACCTGATACAATTATTGTCATAATATCACCAACATTTTATCAGTTGACAAACTTTTGATATCTTCAAAAGGAACGCAGATAATTGAGCTCGAAATGTGAGAACCACTCATACCGTAATACATTTACTGTAGTTCGACCATTTTCAGGTACCTCGACTGGTATGTGTTTTGAAGAAATCCGAACTAATTTGTGCCGTCTATTGGTGTCGAATATACTCAGAAATATACTAAATATTTTGACTATTCAATGAAATAAACACCTAGTATTTTAAAAGTATTTATTTTCAAAATTTCAGGTATACCAGAAAAAAGATTACTGTAGAAAAATATCCCGAAATATAGTCTCTATGTTCCAATAGAAGCCCGCCGTTTACATGCGTTTTGAGATCAATTATCTTGGTTCCTATGAGAGATACCAAAAATGTGGCAACTGATAAAAGGTTTTTCATCATATCACCAACATTTTGTCCGTTGACAGTTTTTTGATATATCTTATAGGAATTGAGATAATTGAACTCCAAAATTTCTTGTACCCTCCGAATAAAAATCAACTGAAAATTATGTTTTTGTATATATTATTGACTGGCACTATATGAGGCTGTTAAAAACTTTATTTCTGAGAACATCAAGGTTCTAAGCAACAGATTCCGAATCGAGAACATCGCCAATACTCTCAATTCCAACTGTCAACTTCTCCATTTCCTTCAGAAGAACGTTCGTGAGGTTCTCGACGTCTTCATATTCCGCTTTAGTGGTGCCCAAGAACTGTTCCAGCCTGTCCAACGCCTTCTCGAAATCACTCTCCTTTTCACCAGCTCCAAAGTCAGCGAGCAAGTTTCGAGTATTCAGAACTTTGTTGAATTCTTTGCTGTTTAAAGTGTCGACATCCGATGAAGTTTGGATTGGGTCCTTCTTCTTCTTTTGCTCCTTATTTTTCTTAATTCTCATTTGGCTTGCATTCGATTTTCTAAAATCTTTTTTTTAAGTAATGAAGGGTTTTAGAGCTCACTCAGCCATTTTCATTTGACGATTGCCGGCAGCGTTGGCCCTCGACTCTGAATCCTCTGGTAGACGTGTCATTTTTGGTGTAGCCAATACCGTATAAGGAAGAAACTAATTTCCGAGAAAGCTACACAGCTCTAGACACGTTGTATATGTGTGATGAGTTGGAAAAGCTCTGAAAAGTTTAACAGGGTCAATAATCTGGAACAGGAAAATCTGGAACAGGAAATAGTCCTAGTTTTGCAAATAATTATTTTGCAAAATGCAATTATTCTAAATAGGATTTTGAGATTTTGAAGTTCTGGATGACTGGGGATTGGGTTTTCTGATATGCTCAATAGTATTAGCAAAAAACCTTATGAAATTTCGTCCAGTAACAATAATTTTAGGTCTCTCGAAATTTAGGGCACATACCGTCAAACCTGTAATTGAGGGACCCCAACTTTGAGCCAATTCATCCTAGTTCCTTTCAGAGATATAGAAAAGTGCCAACTGATAAAGTGTTTATCATAATATCAGAAACATTTTGTCAGTTGACACATTTTTGATAACTCGCATGGGAGCCGAGAAAAACTAGCTCAAACTTGACGATACCAATTTCCGATAAAGGTAGGTTTAGTATGTATGATTAAGGCTTCCATTTGGTCGGGAAATTTAGCCGACCGACCGACCACCGACCCCGCCGACCGACAGCCGACCGTTTTCGTGCATTTGCGCGTCAATGTGTTTGCATACGCTGCATTGTATTTTACGGCAAACTACTCACTAAAAGCCTCGTTTATCGTAAAATAAAGTTCTTCGTACGCAAAAATTCGTGTTTTTATGCGCAAAGGTACGAAATCGGTAGGCGCGCCGACCGATCGGTCAGCTCGGTCGGCTGTCGGTCCGCTGGGTCGGTGGTCGGTCGGCGGTCGGCGATTTTCGACCGACCGAAATGGAATCCTTATGTATGATAATTGGTTTTATAATTATTTGATTTTTTCAGATAAGAATTATATGATTTTCAGATAAGAATATACATGAATTTATGATCGTAAATAAAAAACAGCTTTTGGGAAATCATAGGAGCCCTCGGACCTCTGGGAAAAGGGGCCCTCTAATAGAAGACCACCTGTTATAGAAGGATCTCCCAAACAGAACAATAGAAGATCCCGCGCCTTTATTACGTGTTTACGATATTTATTGCTTGGTAGTGTCTTCTGGTAGAACGGTGGCAGATTTTCCATTACCTTATTTTCTTCATTTTTTAGATAGTGCATTTGAACCTTTTGTTGGATAAGCATATTTTCTTTGCTAGAAGCCAACCCCATACGTTTTCCTTTAAGCTCACTTATCTCAGTTCCTTCGAATAATATCAAAAAGTTTTTAACTGATAAGTCTTTTATCATAATATCACTAATATTTTATCAGTTGAAAGATTCTTGATATCTCTCATAGGATAATTGAGTTCAAAGTGCATGTATAGGGCCAAAATCACTTTTGTGATGTTATGGGCTAATTTAGATTTATTTTTCAACATTTTCCACTTTTTCACAATTCCTCTGACCCGGATTTGTTTTTCTGATCATCAACGGTCACTCCCGAAACTTCCTTTGCCCAGACTGCATCCCAAAAGAGCACGCTTCCGATTCCATTAACTCCAAAAACGGGTCCACACACATTCTTTTCAGTGCTTATTGTTTTCTTTATTCCTCTTTTGTGGGGTTTCTGCTCCAATCCTCGACTTCTGTTTAAAGTGACTTTGAAATCCTCGTCATTCTCGTCTAATTGTCGAAATGAAGTGAGTGGAAGCCTAGGGGTACTATCTAAAGCAAAAAAGTGGAAAGAAATGTGAGTAGGGCGTGGGGCGGAGTAGCGTAGAAGGTCTATCTCTTTCTCTCCCTTCACAACGACGACGAATCCTAATCAAATTGCTGGCCACATACACATACACAGCCGCCGCCCCATCGGGCCATCCCCATACAACGTGTCGCTTCTTCTCTCGGTTTTTCGGGGCGACACGACCCTTTTTAGGAAAAGTAGGAGGGGCGTTTTTCGCGAATCATTCAGTGGTCCATTCGATTTTCGTCAACGTCTTCTGCTTTTCTTCTTCTTCTTCTCTTTTCTCAGTCCGGTCCATTTTTTTCTCCGTCTCTCGATTTGTTGGTTTTGGTCACTTTTTTGGGTACTCCCTAAATGTAAACACCTTGGTTATCAGAATATTTATCATTTTTTTTCAAAGAATTTCAGAAGTCTAGAATATGTTGCAGTGGGTTGTCTTACAATCAGCTGTAACGCTATCATCTATTTGATTGTATCAGGCAATCTGGGAATCCCAGATTCAGATTAGACAGATTTTGAAGAGTAGTACCTATTTTAAGCACTTTTAGTCGGCATATTTGCAATGAAAACAGCAAAAATAGAGAAAATTACGGCTAGAACCGTATTTCGAGTTATTCCCACTATTTTTGACTGAATCCAAATTTTAGAAGGTTCTGGAAACATTCCAGATCCTTGAACTTTTCATACAAAATTCTGTCCGATGTACTCTGAAACTCTATCAAATTTTTTATGAATATTTCAGTCACTATGCTTTTGTGAGGCTTTTTGATTCTAAAATAATTTGTATGAGGCTATTTTAAAAATTATGCAATGAAATGTTATAGGATGGTTGTGGTTTTTTTGAGCCTTAAAATTTCAAAAAATCTTGAAAAGCAGCTTTTTTGTAAGGTGGAAAATGACCAAAAATACATTTAACTCGCATCAAAAATCACTAATTGGGAAAACCTGAAAAGTTAAGATGGTGTGCGCTGGAATGTGCAATTTTCGGGCGGATGAAACAGCAACATTATTCTTTTAAAAATTGAGAAAAATACTGTATTTTCAGAAGTACCCCCTAGGAACGCAATTAGGCCTCAACCCTCTAGGGTTAAGCCCCAACCTCTAGGCTTTACCCCCCCCCCCCTGAGGTTAGGCGGACTGTCCTTAAAGGTGGGGGGACATGAAAAAATAATGTTCTCGAAATTCCGTTTAAATATGCCCCTCGAGGAGTTGAACTTGTCGAGACTAGTATTGACGGTGCGGCGCCGCTACCGACTGAGCCACGCGGGCAAAGAAAAAGCGCACGCCCGATTGCATACATAAAGGTGAGGACGACCGCTGTACGCAGAGTGACATTAACCGTTGTACACCGTCACGGTAGAATGCATACTCTAGCTACAAAAATCCTACGAAAAATCTCCTGTCCCCCCACCTTTAAAAAGCCAAATCCTTGGCAAATAATTGGGTACAAAAAGTCGGGGGTTCAAAGGGGTACAAAGCAATTTAGGGGTACAAAATCATCAGTTCGGGTGTACAAAATACCGGGAAAAAGGCTTAGTTTTGTACCCCCAATCATGGATTTTGTACCCCTAAATCACTTTGTCCACCCTTGTACTCCCGAGTTATTGTACCCTCCGAATTTTTTGCCCTAATCCTTATCTTTAGGGCCTTTTTCTAACTCTAACCGTTCATTAGTCCTAATCCAGATGATTTTTTCCCGATTTTTTCTGTTTGACGATTTTTCTGGAATTTTTTTCGTTATCACTCGACCATGGCCCGCTACAGAGCCGATTTTGGGCAAGTTCCGACCAGCACCTGGCCAATATCCTATTTTGCTTTTATTTTGGGTGCAGAGCTTTGATGGACCTAACCATATTCAAATCCGTTATAAATGAACTTCATCTATTTTTTTCAATTAGGACTGGCATTTCCAATTTCACCAAAACTTGATCTTTCCAACTTTGGCTTTTAATTAAACCTCGTCAATAAACCAGGCCTTTTCCAAACTTTGATTTTGAAACTTTGTGAGTCAGGCCTCTCTCTCTCTGGAAATAAATAAATTTCCAGCCACTTTACACATCTCCGGCACATCTATATATTCATTTCTCCGCATTTTTTTCGAGCATCTCCTCCTCCTCCTCCCGATTCTCCCGTTGTGAAAAGTTGTTGTTTTCCGGTTTCACTCACTCTTCTTCTACTCCTACTCCTCCTTATGCTACTTCTTCTTCTTTTCAAAAACACTTTGCTCCTTCTCCGACGGCGACAGACTAAGAGCATCATGAGAGAAGTGCGAAGAAGAAGAAGAACTTGTCACCCAAGCGACACACGCCTTCTTCTTGTTTATTTATTTTCTGAAGGAAAAGAGTTGTCATCTGCAGACTGGTGTTCCATACGTCTTCATTTTTTGTTGGGGATCCTGTTTGGAGGGGGGAGCTTACGGTCCATAAGTTATTGGTTACGATTTTTTTTGTAGATTGTTCTCAAGGTAGACAACAACCCTATCACAATTCTCCTTCTCTTCCGAAAATCGACAATCAGCTGAAAAACTAGGAATTTTCAAAAATTCTACGAATGCAAAGTTTTTAATACTGGCATGTTTTAAATCCTCCAAAATTACCAAAGTGATTGGAAATTTGACATCTGAGCTCCAGACTCCTTAAAATGGCCGAAAATCAACTGAAAAATATGTTGTTGTATGACTTAATGACCTGTACGGTCCTTTTCTTATGGATTTCTCAATTTTTTCAAATGCTACAGTAGTCATAACCACCTTTTAGCTTATCTTTATCACCAAAACATTGATTCTAACTTTCCTAGTTTGGAACTATTCTTTTTTCTACTTCAATTTTAATTTGAACTATTAGTGAGAATCTTTGATAGTGAGGTTTGTGCTCAGTAAAGATCTTTCTCAGTAATGGACTTTCTTAGTAAGGATCTTCCTTAGTAATGATCCTTTTTAGTGAGAATTTTTCTTATTAAGAATTTTTCCTATTGAAGATGTTCCGTAATAAGGGTTTTTTTTTCTTAGTGAGAGTTTTTCTTAGTAAGGATTTTTCTTAGTAACGATCCTTCTTAGTGAGAACCTTTCATAGTGAGCCATTGTGCTTTCTAATGATCTTTATAGTGAGGGATTGTGCTTGGTAAGGATCTTTCTTAGTGAAAATCATTCTTAGTGAGAGTTTTTCTTAGTGAGAATGTTCCGTAATATGGTTTTCTTTAGTGATAATCTTTAATTGTGAGGGTTGTGCGTAGTAAGGATCTTTCTTAGTATTGATTCT